TTTTTTGAACATATTTTCAATGAACTTTTTTTACTTTTTTATATACAATTTTTTTCCATTAAAACTTAGCACCTTGTCAAAAATACCCATTATTTTTTAACTGATCAAAAAATCTTAGTTATCTTCTATTTTTCGTATTTAGATAAGCAATTGCTCACTAGTTTTGCTTATCTTAATAGCATACGGCTTTTTCAGAAAAAGAAGAAAAAACAAGTAATAATAAAAGAAAAGATTGCATCCTAAACCCTCAGTTGATGTAGCAGCGCTGTTGCAAGTCAGGCTATTTATCAATTGATGTATGTATTGAAGCCCCTGGCAGCAGGCTTTTTTAGTGTGACATCAGAGTGCTTATCTAAACAAGCAACTTAAGCCAAAATTTGTGACTTTTAGTTCATTCCAGTTCCAGCCAGAACTACAATATTTAAGGCCGGAATGACAGAACTTATTTTTTACCTTTTTTTTAAGACAGTGACACAGACTGTAAATTAAATGAAAAAATTATTGTCCTATAGAGCAATGAAGAACTATAGGTAAACCAAGGTAAAAAGTAAAAAATTCTTAACAAACACAACGTAATTTTATTTGCAATTATGTAATCAATTATGTAAAGATTTTTAGAAGTTTAGAAAAATTGTTGCGCAAAAATTGTTGCTATCCAGTTTTGGGCAAAAAACTAGCTTTTTCTTCATCAAAAATGTTACCTCCCTCTGAGATTAGTCTCATTTTATATTTTACTTAAATTTTAAATAATAAAAAAGCATATGAAGTTTAATACAGTAAATATTATAATTTTAACCTAAATGGAAAAACAGAAAACAAAGAAATAATTCTAAATATTAATACTATTAAGGGTAAAACATTCACAAAATAAAATTATGATAAAAAAATAAAATCAACATATTAGATTTAAATGAACAAGAATCATATTAGTGAATTCGAATCCAGTTCAGGCCTAGATTCAAAATTTCCTATCCGGGCCTTGGCGGGAGTAAATAAGTGCAAGAGAGGAGAAAAGCTCTCCTAAAACAAATATGGCAAGCCATGCGAGCTGCTCTTCTAAACAGCTTCTTAAAAGAGCTTTTAGTTTTTGCATAAGCTGCCTGTTTAGTCATTAAAAAAATTGGTTACTAAATACAAAATTTGGTTTTATACTTGTTACAAGCATATGTTTGTAACATTAATGTTATAAGAATATGTATATAACAAGCATCATTTATTGTGCTGTGAAAAAATTCTTTAGACCTTTGGGTTTTCATACCATTTAACATTACTTATTGAATAAAAAATTTGACAAAGAGCTATAAACGTTTTTACTGCTTATAGAAAATATTTTTTATTTTTTTATTGAAATAAAATGCAGAATTATTACAACAATTAAAGATTCGTAAAAAAAAGTGAGTTAATAAACGTAAATAATATTTAAAGTATATCATTTATACAGAAAATAAAAACTACTATGCAATAATTTAGATTGTATTAATTTAATTTTTTATTAGTAATTTTATATTTAATTAATTTAGAATATAATAATATTATACTACCAAAGAGTTTTATATATCTATAATTATATCTAAATATATCTAAAAAGTCTATATAATCGAAAATATTTGCATTTTAATCTGCACTCTTTTTTAATTTCTTTTTTTTTTTTTTGCAACCAGCGTGCCTTTTAAAAGCATTATAGTTTATAACGCAATTAATTTTTCTTCTTTTTTATAAAAATGACTACGTGTTTTTCATTTTAGTTACATTGATAATTATACTTTTGCAACAAAAAATTACACTTTTGTGAGGGCCATAAATTGCTCCCGTAAACCTTTTTAGGGTAGTGTGACAAGAACTAAAGCCGTCACTTCCCAACGAGGCCTATATATATATATATATATATATATATATATATATATATATATATATATATATATATATATATATATATATATATATATATATATATATATATATATATATATATATATATATATATATATATATATATATATATATATATATATATATATATATATATATATATATATATATATGTATATATATATATATATATATATATTTATATATATATATATATATATATATATATATATATATATATATATATATATATATATATATATATATGTATATATATATATATTTATATACACATTATATATACATTTATATATATATATATTTATATATACAGCCAAGGTACACCACCAGTGGTGTACCCTGGAGGTATGTATGTTGTACCTTGGAGGTGTTATTGCATAAACAGATTAGGTGCTCAACATAGTAGAAATTTGATATTTTTACTTATAGGATAATTGGACTTCAAATAGATTTATGTAAACTATATATTAATTTATATTTATGTTGAATTTATATAGGGTAGAGCAGGTAGGATTTGTACAGCAGAAGCATTCGTACAGTAGGCATATCTAGACATTCTTTGTTTTGACACATTTACATTTATATGTGTGTGAAGACCACTCATGCACAAAGGCTAACAGCTTAGTGCCGTGGCAGTGCCATCATAATTGTCATTGGAATAAGTCGATGCGTGTTTTTGCAATGCTAAAGTAATTTTACAAATAATCTTTGAAAACATTTATTTGCAATAATTTTTGATCCAATTAATGAAATAATTTATTATGCTTTTTGTATGCTTTTGTATAATTTTCTAATAACTTTATCCATTATTTTTATTTTGAATTAATATGTTAGTTGTTATGGTTGGGGCACATTCGTACAGTAATAAGTGGGGAGAGTTCATACTATAAATACGTATGAAAAAACCCGCACGCCTGTTCTTTCACATTTAAACAGACAGCAGTAACTGATTTCTAGGAAAACCTAGATAAGCTTTTGAGAAAATATTTTTTCTCTGCATATAGGATATATAATTTTATTTTTATTATGTTTAATATTTATTTTGTTTCAATTTTAATCTTAATAAATGTTTATTTTCAATAAATACATTTCCAACTTTGTAATAAAGTACCGAACAAAAAACTGAATGAAGCTACCCTGCGATAAGGGTGCTTTCATACAATCTCTATTTTTTTGAAAAAGACATCATAGTACTGTCTTGTTAGCTTTTTCAAAACTAAACTACAATATTACTAAAGCCAGATATTTAGGTTACTCACGATTATACGACTTAGTACAAAAGCAAAATAATTGCTATTTTACAAAAGCAAAAATAATAGCTATTTTAAAAATAATTTTAATGCTGCTGAGTAGCAGCATTAAAATTATTTTAAAATAGCAATTATATTTGCTTTTATACGACTTAGTATAAAAGCAAAAATAATTGCTATTTTAAAAATAATTTTAATGCTGCTGAGTAGCAGCATTAAAATTATTTTAAAATAGCAATTATGATTTAAATTAAAAAATTAAATAGCACCCTATGATTATAAACTTAAACTAATTTATACTTAGAAGTATAAAAAACTTACAAAACAAATAAAGTTGATTAAGAAAAGGGTAATAAAAAATATCTACATTAAAGATTAGTAATATTAGGTTTCACTTTGATTTAGCATTTGTCTACTCTAAATTCAGGTAATCAAAGTTAATGCCATGATAGTTTTTCCAGCTGTCGAGCTGAACCTCCTGTAATAGAAGAATGTGACAACTGAAAGACCATTTCTAGTTTGTCTAACTCATGCACAGTTTTATCTTCTTTTTAATAATTTGAGAAAAACTTTCAAAGAGACGATTACAATTTGAGAAAAATAATTACAATTTAACAAAGAAATACATACATCATATTGTACTAAAGAAATTAATAATAAACAAAAAAATCGTAATGAACTATAACATCATATTACATTGAAAAAATACTTTCATAACAATTATTACTCATAATAGTATTTTAAAAATCATGCAAGTGTGTACCTTGTTGGTACCATCAAGGTACGCATGAAGGTATACTGCTATTATAGTTTTTACAAAATCACTACTATATATTTATAGGTTAAGAGTTGAGCACTTTCAAATATGAATAAATGTAGCTGAAAACAAGCTATGCTTGTATATAAAATTTATACCTATAGTTTTAGAAAAAAAAAAAAATGCCCTTAAAATGTTACTTTTGGTACTAAACAAAAAGATATTTTAGTTTGGTACCAAAAAGTTTAAAACAATATATTGGTTTATACCAAAAAGTTTAAAACTATGTATTGGTTTACACCAAACCAATACATAGGTATAAAACAAAAATACCTATGTATTGGTTTGGTATAAAACAACTTATTAAGAACCTTTAAAAGCCAATATATGCAACTAAAATTTTAGTTTGAACTCATCATTCAAGATGGCAGCACAATTGATGTGACTCCAATGTACACACATCTCCAAGGTACACCACTCTCCCCTATATGTATGTATGTATGTATGTATTTTTTTTCTTTCTCTTAACTCTTTACCTCCGAAACACGAACCTTGACAAGCAAGACCGCTGCGCGAAAAAATTAAGTTGAGCGCGGTACTTCCAGGGACGTGGTGGGAGTCGAACTCCGAATCGCTTTTACCGCTACACCACTACCGCATTAAATATATATATATATATATATATATATATATATATATATATATATATATATATATATATATATATATAAATATATATATATAAATATATATATATATATATATATATATATTTATATATATATATATATATATATATATATATATATATATATATATATATATATATATATATATATATATATAGAGAGAGAGAGAGAGAGAGAGAGAGAGAGAGAGAGAGAGAGAGGAGAGAGAGAGAGAGAGAGAGAGAGAGAGAGAGAGAGAGAGAATAATATTATTATTCTATTATAATAACACCCCTGTATTCTCACTAAATGGTAAAATATTTTCTACAATTTTATGAGAATACATAAGTGTTTTACTTTTTAGAATATAATTTAATACTAAATTATTAACTAAGAAACATCATTTATTAAAAATACCATGAAATTATAAAATACCTAAACATGTTGTGCTGTTGTAACAACTTGTAACTTCAATACTGTTTCCAATGCATGGATTCATTACATCAAGACATAGCCTTACTCTACTCATAGTTCCATTACCACAAGAGACATCACAAAGGGACCAAAAACTCCATTCTGACCAACCTAACTCTACCCCTAGAAAAAAAGTGGTAAATTTGAAAATAACTAAAATGCAACATTCTTCAATTCAACATTGAAAATGGTATTTCCTATATTATAAATAAATGTAGTTAACCTAAAGTCAACAAAATTTTAAAAATATCCAAGTGCTTACTTTAAAAACATTAACTTTTAAAGTATGATTTACATAGTATAAAATATTTTTGTGGAAGAGTTTTAGTAATGTAACTAATGAAAGAGAGATTTGTTAATAAAGAAATTCATTACACAAGAACAAAAAAACTTACTTGAAATTTTAACTAGCGATACACATCAATAAAAAATGAAACAATATAAACTTCAAGGCCTTAACTCCAAACAGTTAAGAAGCTATGTTTTGGAATGAAGCAGTTAAGAAGCTGTATTTATATATATATATAAATATATATTTATACATATATACATATGTACAAATATATATATATATATATATATATATATATATATATATATATATATATATATATATATATATATATATATATATATATATATATATATATATATATATATATATTATATATATATATATATATATATATATATATATATATATATATATATATATATATATATATATATATATATATATATATTTATATATATATATATACGTCATGCGGGCTACTTGAGCTACCTGGAGTTACTTGAACCCAAAAAAATTAAATGTTTATTTATGTGTTTATTTTTAACAGAATTACTTGTTATGAAAGTAAATAAGTTTATTATACACTTACTCAAATCAATTAACAAAAAATAAAAAAGGGTTAAATTTTTTTGCAAGAAGTTATCAAAAAAAAATTCTTTTTTAAAAGAAACGACAATAATGGTAGAAATTTAGCGTAAAACTTTTACCTGTCCAGACATAACCAAAATAAAAAAAATTCTATGACAACACTTCTTAAAAGAAGTATCCGTTGCTACAAAATGTAGCAATTATAATTGTCTTATAATTTTATTATTTTGATAAAAAGATTTTTTTATGTTTGAAGTTCAAAATTGGGGCAACTTGAACCCAAATGTCACTGTAGCAGCTAATGTTTGAAAATGATTCAACTTGGTTTTCCATTAACATTAAACCCGAAAGTCTAATAATATATTTAAAAGGAGTTGATATATTTGTTATTTTAACCATGCTTTTAATATTTGTTAGGTTACAAAATGTATACCTAAATAATGTTGATAATTGGTTAAAGCTATTGTTATACACCATTTTGCGTATACTTCATGTTATCATAACTGGTTCTAACAGAATGGATTGCAGATATAAAAGAAAATTGAGATCTAGAGCTTACAAAGACTATACAGATCAAAACTTAGAGCAAGCCTATAATAATATTGAACATGGAGCTATGAGTCAATGATTTGCTAAAAAACAATTTAAAATCAGCCGCTACAGGGTTTTTTATACTATGGATACTGTAATTAAGTATGTTTATGTATACTGTAGGCAAAAATGCATCTTTGATATATATGCTATTTTTGTCCCTCCATGCTTTAAAAACTTTTATTCCTAGAGTGTTTTTCCTTGCAGCTTGATGTTTTAGTACTCTTGTTTTAATACGTTTTCTTGTTATCCCAAATCATACAGTTACCATGTTTTTTAATTCTTCAGTTTACTGTTTTCTTGCCCTTTAAAATTACTACATGTTAACTCTCAACTTAAATAGTGGTTGTTTTCAGGCTTGTTCAGTAAATAAATTATTTTTTTTTTAAATTTGCAATTCAAATTGATAAAAAAATTCCTATAGTCAATTCCTAAAATTATATATATATATATATATATATATATATATATATATATATATATATATATATATATATATATATATATATATATATATATATATATATATATATATATATATATATATATATAAATATGTATATATATGTATATATATATATATATATATATATATATATATATATATATATATATATATATATATATATATATATATATATATATATATATATATATATATATATATATATATATATATATATATATATATATATATATATATATATATATATATATATATATATATTTATATATATATATTAAAAAAAAAAGCCACACTCAATTTTTTGATAAAAAAAAACAAAAAAATGTCTTTAACTCATATAATAAAAGTAAATCAGGACAATTTTTAAAGAAATATATTTAATATTATTATACATTGCATATAATGAAAAAAAAAATTAGGATTTGTAAAGTGTTTTTCAAGTTTTAGCTGTATTTGTACTTAATTGGTCATCCTTTGTTTCTTATGACTTCTGTGCATCTAGAAGGCATACTATCTACAAGTCTTTTTAATAAGTTATTTGACAAAGCATTCCAATCAGCAAGAAGAATTAAAAACAGTTCATCTTTTTTTGTTGCCCTATGATCTTGCAATTTTCTATCCAAATGTAGAAAATAGATTTTCTATTGGATTTAATTCAGGAGACTGTGCTGGCCAAGACATAACTGGTATCAATTTTGGTTCCAGATATCTTTTATTTAACCATGCCGTATGTTTGGGATCATTATTTTGTTGAAAGATGTAGTTATAAATATGGAAAAGTTTTTCTAAACTTGGACTAAGTTGATTAACAAAGATTTTGTCATACAAATGCTGGTTCATGGTAGCTTCCACCCGGTAAAGCTTTCTAATATTTTGTGCACTAAAACAACCCCAAACATTGATATTTTTGTCATGTTTAATGGTTGCCTTGCATGTTTGGGGTTGAACTTTTCCCCAATTAATTTTCAGCAGTGAGATCGACTATTATAAAATAACAAAAAAGGAGACTCATTGCTCCAAATAACTTTAGCCCATTGCTCACATCTCCAATCTTTGTGCACAATGCAACACTTTATTGATTTATTGCAAGTGATTTCACTTACAAAGAGTTTTTTTATTTGCTTACTAGCAAAAAACTCACCTAATGGTTTTATTCAAAGAGATATTGTCTATTTTAAGATATTAATAACAATCAAATAAAGTTTTATCTCAGAACACGTAACTTTACAATCTTTTTTGACAACATTAAAAATATAGCATTCTTCTTTTTTTAAATAATAAAGCATTCTTCTTTTTATCTCCCAGATCTAACAGACTTATTCAGACTTATGCGCAAAAGTCATAAGAAACAAAGGATGGCGAATTAAGTACTAATAAAACTTGAAAAATACTTAACAAATCCTAATTTTTTTGTATTATATGCAATGTACAATAATATTATATACATTTCTTTTTTTATTACAAAAATTGACTGTGGGAATTTTTTTATCTATTTAAATTGCAAATTAAAAAAAAAAAAGTTTAATCTGTTTATTTTACTGTGTTTGTTTGTGTGTTTATTCACAATGATGATCAATATATAATATAAACATAGAGGAAATGACTTGTCAAGTTTAAAAAAAAGATATGATGATAATATGGGTATGTTTTTTTTTTTTTTTTTTTTTTTTTTAACTAATTTATTTAATGAACAAGGCTGTAAACAACCATTATTTAAGTTGAGAGTTAACATAATTTTAAAGAGCAAGAAAACAGTAAACAGAAGAATTTAAAAAAATTGGTAACTGTATGATTTGGGATAACAAGAAAACGTTCCAAAACAAGAGTACTAAAACATCAAGCTGCAAGGAAAAACACTCTTGGAATAAAAGTTTTTAGAGTATGGAGAGACAAAAATAGCATTTATATCAAAGATGCATTTTTGCTTACAGTATACATAAACATACTTAATTACAGTATCCATAGTATAAAAAACCCTGTAGCGGCTGATTTTAAATTGTTCTTTAGCAAATCATTGACTCATAGCTCCATGTTCAATATTAATATAGGCTTGCTCTAAGTTTTGATCTGTATAGTCTTTGTAAGCTCTAGATCTCAATTTTCTTTTATATCTAATCCATTCTGTTAGAACCAGTTATGATAACATGAAGGATACGCAAAATGGTGTAAAACAATAGCTTTAACCAATTATCAACATTATTTAGGTATACATTTTGTAACCTAACCAATATTAAAAGCATGGTTAAAACTTTGCCGAATGACGAGTAATGCAAGTTTTACATAACGGGCAAAAGATAATAGCTCATTCTAGCTCAGTTTTATTGTTTGTTTGTTTTTTTAATTGATATTTCTTTATTTTTCCTTGGTGCCAAATAAATGCCTCCACCGGCTTAATAACTTTGAACTTACACCCTCCTCTGCTTATCCAACCAGAGTTTTTCAGGACCTCCTTTATTGATTTTTAAAATTTTTCTTGTCTGCATTTAAAAACTCATTTATGAGCAACCAATATGTATGTTTTATTGTTTATAAAAAAATTGAATTAGCGCTGTTTCTTCTTAGTGCAGGGGTCTTGTTTGGCAAGGTTTGTGTTTTAAAATTAATGGATTGAAAAAGGATCTTCTTATCTATTACTCTGTATATAAAAACAACTCTGTATTAAGATGTATGTTTATGTTCACTCTGAACCTCTGGTGCAGTTTTCACTCACCCACAAGTTTCCCTGTTTATAGGTGTGCGTGTAATAATTTCAAATTTATTATATATTACATTGTTATACATTATTAGAAAGAACTTAAAAATTTTTATGAAAATAATCTAACTTTATTTTAAATAATCTTCTTGTAGATAATTTAATTGTAAATAACTTCTATATATAACTATATTGTAAATATTATAATTGTAAACAACTTTTTGTAAAATTATCATATATATATGAAATGTAAAATTAATTTTATTAAAAAATAATCATAATTTTAATTAAAAAAAATCATGATTTATATGAAATATAGAATTAATTTTAATAAAACTTATTATACATTTAACATGAATCTGATTATTTTAAAGAAGTAAGAAATCCATGTAAAATTAATATTTGAATAATCATTCTGATTATTTAATCAGGACTGATTGTTTAAGTATTTACTTGATTTTATGCAAACTGTGGTCAATTTTGAAATTTCAAGTTAGTAAAGCGTTAAAAATTATTTGCGTTTTAAACGTCAATTATTATTGGCGTTTTACTGAAATAATTGTAAGCAAAGACTGATATTTATTTAGAATTTACTGTTAGTTTATATTTTTTGATCAGCCCTTTATATAAGGGGCTGATCATATGGTGATAAAACTTGGGATCATGTTCACATGGAAAAAAGATCTCGAACATTTGTTTACATATAAAATTCGCGCTTTTTATTATAAAAATATTATTCGCGAATGGAAATCAAAAACCTCTACCGCGTAACAAAAGAGCGCGAAAAGATTTCTCAGCAAACAAGAAATAAACATAGAAAAATGTGTTAAAAAAAAATCTAACGTTTCTTCAAATACGTGCACAAAAAACCGTTAATAACTTTAAAAAAATGAAAATAATAAAGTTAAATTATTTTACTTTCAAAATAATGATTCAATTTAGAATAAGCGCACAACAAATACACCATAACAACTCATCTTAAAAAACGAGTCATATATTTATTTTAAAGTCATATGACTTTTGCTGTAAAAAACCAAATATCACATGCCTACTATACACTAGCGGGCTGCAGGGTCCGCAGCCGCGAGTAGCCTCAGAGTTATTCAGGACCAAAGGTGACCAACTTTAAAAAAAAAAAAAATCAAAAAGCCGCTACCGTAAAAAATAATATTTATGTTTATAAACACATCAACATTAACACGTTGAAATGTTATAATATAAATAAAAAATGCGAACTCTTTTCCGGATTTTTTTTTTGTTGGCTTTTATAATAATCTTGACCAGCACTTTAAATAGCAGGGCAGACGACACGGGTTTCAAAGTGGAGGGGTACAATCGTTTCTAAAAATGTCCTCTAGATCCAAAAGTTTTTTTTTTAAAAAAAAAGTTCCTTGTCCAAGACCTTATCTTTGTAATGACTTCTTTATAATAATTTATTTTGTAACGGGTTGAACATTGGTATTTTACGTCTGATTATGGTCAATACAAATTAGACCGAAATATCGCATAAAAGAAAAATTGATTAGTAAAATGCTGTTTTTGATGTTTTATAACTTTACGTACTACAAGAAATGTCGCCAAAACGCTTTCTTTCGATTCAAATATCAAAACATGGGTTTCCAAAAGAAAGTTCCTCAAGTTGGTTCAGACATCCTTTTCAAGATGCACATTCATGACGTTGTATTTCAAGTGCTTCCCTAACTTTTTGGGTTTTCAAAAGAAAGTCGCGCCATCCCTCATGCCGGTTCAGACCGCCTTTTTTAGGATGCACATTCATGACGTTGTATTTCAAGTGCTTTCCTAACTTTTTTGTTTAAATTACAAACCTCTACTTTTAAAGTGTTTTTATTGTTCCTTGCAAAAATACCATGACAGATTTTTGAATATTCCGCTATTACTAAATAATTCCATTTTCGTTCCTATTATTCTGATGTTGGTAAATGCGAGATGATGTTTTTAATTTTGTTTCACCAATATAAAATTTTTTGCAGGAGTATTCAAGTTTGTACACACCTGGATAAGAATTTATAGGAAGAGGAGGTTTATTTTTGCGGTAAATATACGTTGAAAATTTTTTGGTGTTTTAAAGATTAGTGTTAAACCTGCTTTTATAAAAACTTTTCTTGACGTCGGGTCAGGGGGTGGATCTAGTATTTTTTAGACTTCGAAATATCTAACTTCCAGATATGGAGCAAACTCCAAATAATTATATGATTAGACTTATGTCAAATAAGGATGCTTTGCGATCATTGGAGCCTGAGAACAAAAATAAACCTAAAATTTTTGCCCTCTCCCTGCTCCAAACGAGAGAGCACCAAGTTGATGAAATATTATTTTACTATTTTTTACTAGACTTACATTCATCAATAAATTTTAAATTTCATAGTAAAATATTTTAGCGTTCAAAAATTATGACCGTATAAAGTTTAAACCCCCCTCAACTGAAAATTTTATATAGTCAGAGTTTTGAAACGCTGAGAAATTATACTATGAAACTTAAAATTTCTTAATGAAATTAAGTCTAGTTGAAAATAAAAAAATTTCATCAACTTGTAGCTCTCACGTTTGGGGCAGGGGGGCATAAATTTTGGGACTTATCTGTTCCTAGGTTCCAATAACCGCATTATTTTCAAACTATCTTTATTTGACATAAGTATAAACATAAAAATGTTTAAAACTCCATGTCTGGAAGTTAAATATCCACCTCTGCTTCGGGCTAATTCCCGGTATCCACGGTAAAGATACAATTTTTTTTGAAACCTTTGTTAAAAGATACAATATTTTTTGGAAACCAACGCTTTGATATTTGAATTAAAAGAAACTGTTGCACTGTTTTATGTTTTTGTTTTGTATTTAATTGATTTTTTATATTTATATTTTACTTGATAAAGAGAATCAATACTCTCTTCAACTATTGTAATAAAAATTAATTTAAAAATAAAGAGTTACATCCATAGTAAAAATTTTTATTTAGTTATATTTATAAAACTCTTTAAAGATGTCTTTTAAAATTTGTATTGTGATATAAGTTGATCATTCACGGATATAGTCGCAAAATTTTTGGTATATTACTCGTTAGCGTGGCAACTGCAAAAAGATCTTTTAGCTCATTAAAAAAAAATTTAAAACCAAACTGAAGCGTCTGAAACGGACAGCCATGGCGTAGGACTATTTTTGTGCTTAGTCTTTTAGCTATTGAAGCAGAATCAGTTACTTAATTTGATTTAAAAGATAATATAGACCAATAAGCAGCTATGAAGGCAAAAAAACAAACACTTTCATTAGATTTTTATCACAGTACTCGTTGCATACTTTACTGGTTTTATCTCAAAATTGTGTTTAGGAATAAGGTTTTTAATTTTCATGCATAATTTTTGGTCAAGAAGGTGGGGATTTGGGGAAGGAGGAGGTGCCACAGAAGAAATTTTAAAAGCCCTGAGTTAAGTTTTGCGAGGAGCCTATTTTTATTTACTCCAAATAAGACAACAGCTCTAAAACACAGCTTCATAGATTTGAGGGCGCGTGGAAAAAACTTTCACGAACTCTGATTTTTTTTTCAGAGAATCTGATTCCATTAACAGCTGTAATATTTAAGTTATAGCAAAATGGTTAGTGTACCATTGAATGGTTTTGGAGTATATTGTTGAGCTACATAAATAAGTCTTTTGTTTTAACGTTGTGTTAATTAGCGGGAATAAAAGAATTCCGTAGATCATCGGTTAAAGTGTTATGCATTTTTTATAATTTAGTCATAATTAATTAAATTCATCATTACTTTAAAAATTTATCTTTTACTAATTTTGTGGTCTTCTAAGCATTTTTAAATCAGTTGAATTTTTTTTTTTTTTTTGCAAACTCATTCTGTGGTCATTGAAATAACTTTTATCACTTATATTAATTCCTGAAAAATTCATTTACTAGTTCTGTGGTTTTCTTCTGTGGTCGAAATAACTTTACATCAGTTGAAAATTATTTTTGAAAATTTCACCAGGCCTACTCGCTTTTTGTATGGATTAATTTGAATGCAACTTATTCATCAACTGTTCACAGTGTTGATGGCTATTATCTTTTGATTCGCAAAGATGGATTTAAACAATTAGGTTGAGGTGATTTATGTTTTACTTTTTTGCGGTTGCCTCAATCTTAATCTAAAGTTATAACAATGAGCTCCTCATATGTCCTCAATAATACCCATCAAAACTACTAACATCCATGCACAAACTGGTATTGGTAATAATTGATTAAATTAGCCTCTTTAAGATCTACCACAAATTTTAGGAAACTTAACTAGCGGCCAGCTTTAGAACAAATAAACTGAATTTTGCACTGTTTAATGGCCCTAAAGTTTATTGGTTCTAATAGTTTAATGGCACAGTTAAATGGTTCTAATAGCTTTAAATGAGGTGCATCCACCCCATTTTAAACTACTTGACTTGTGTAAATTGTCAATTGAATTTTTTTTTTTTTTTTTTTTTTTTTTTTGATAACTTCGAGATAATAAAAAAGTCTAACAATGCCAGTCTAAAAATTAGAGTGGCGTAACTCGTCAAGAGACAAGTTTTTTTGTTTATTTTATTGTTATAAAAATTATTTTATTGTTATTAAAAGTCTTTCCTAGAGAGTTTTCCACAAAAAAAGAAGCTGGATGCAGTTAACATATTTCCATGATAAATATTTTAATTGATATCTTTTTTTTTTAATTGATATTGATATCTTTCCTATTACTCAAACAAGACTTAAGACAGGGGTGTTTTAGTTCGTATTTAATTTTTACAAGTTTTTGCTTTGAAAAGAGAATCTTAAAAGTTAGATGAACACGGCGCAGACTGTACTTGATCACATGTTACAAATTGCAGAATAGTCGTGACAATTTAGAACCTGTTCAGACTGTAATATGTATTGAGTACAATCATAAGCCAAATAAAAAATAATTTTTCAATCATTAGAAAAAAATTTAAATCTAAAATTTATTACCACAAAATATTTAACTGATCTAAAATAATTTATGCTACAATGCTTTAATTTAATATAATGAAATTCAATTTTATAAAACCAAGTATTGTAAATATCGTTTATTACTTTTACATAGAATTTTTTTAATACCTAAACAAGTTTCATTGTTGTAACAACTTGCTTCATCAATACTGTCTCCAACGCATGGGTTCACTACATCAAGACACTCTCTTATTCTGCTCACAGTTCCATTACCACAAGAAACATTACAAAGAGACCATAAACTCCATTCTGACCAACCTAACTGTAACCCTGAAAAAAGTGGTAAATTTGCAAAAAACTAAAATGCATCATTCTTTATATACATACGTATATATTAGAGTTTTCCTGGGTAATAAAACGATGAATATTTGTACAAAATAAATGCAAAATAAAACATTAGCTTAGTTTTCTTGTTTAAAAAGTCACCAACAAACTAAAAATTCAAAATTATCATATATATGTTTAAAGATAATATTTCAAATAAAGTTATGATCGCTATATTTTAATTCTAATTTTTTTAATTGAAGAGTTATTATGCAGTTTTTATGCATTTAACAGTTTATTGTTACATCATAAAACTCTAAATTTAAAATAAATATAAAGCTACAAACTTAAATAACGATTCTACAGGTACAAAAAACTAATGTGTATATTGAAAAAATGTTGTAAAGAATTCAGCTTAAATAAAGCGTAATATACAAAACAAAATAAATCGAGAAGACTGGAACAAAACGGGATATTGAGGTGAAACAGGATTTCATTAAAACAACCTTTTCAGAGCCCCAAAACATCTGGTCAAAGAGAATGAAAAATAAATAGAAGTTTGTGGGATCTCCTCGTATGCCTTAGTCACAGAAACTAGTGAACCATACTTCACCTGCCCAATCGATTGACATGATCTGAATGGGTTTATTTTTTTAAATTTTCCCAACTAATTGCTAAGAGACAATTTAAAAGTATAAATTTTATTTCATTTCATCACTGAAAGCATATGAGACAGTGTTTACGTCTTGTGAGGAAGATGACCTTGTTAAATACGTTCAGCAAATAGAGGGAACGCTATTTGGACTAGCTTTGATGGAATAATGCTAAATGGGCAACAAACTATCCGAAAGAAAAAAAAGAGCACATCTTTTCGACCATGAGCATGATGTATCTGGGTACAATTAGTACAAGGGCTTCATAAAACAGCATTCTATCCGTATTTCACTGAGAAAATAGGAAGCTATTTTCTCAGTGAAATACGGCTAAATGCTATTCCGCAGCAAAAGCGACAGGCTTTAATAGAGTTGCTATTGATTCTTTTTTTGACCTGATGGAAAACAACGTTGACAGCCAAAAATTAACAGTAAACAAAATTTAGAATTTAAAACAGGCATCAGCACTGTTTCTAAATCTCTTTCCAAAATCACCCAAGGGAAAAACACAAGGAGGTGCAATCATCTCTGCAGAGCGAGGACAGCTTGTAACTGCTATTATTTGCTGTTTGACAAGCGGAAACTATGTGCAGCCAATGCTGATTTTCCAAAGCCAACGACTAAAGAACAAGTTAATTAATGGGGAACCTCCTGGTGCTTGACCTGAAGGTCATTCAAGTGGCTGGATACAGTCAGAGCTCTTTCTAAATTGGTTTAGAAAATTTGTTACTCATTCAGGAGCGACAAAAGACAATAAAGTACTTTTGATCTTGGATGATCATGCAGCACGCATAAAAAACTTTAAACTTAATGACATAGCTAGAGAAAAGGGAGTCATAAAACCGTGCCTTCCTCCTCATTGTACCTACAAATTACATCTTCTGGACCTAGTTTTCATGAAGCTACTTAGCGTGCATTATGATCATGCCATGAGAAAAGGGGTTTGTGAGCACCCTGGGCGAGTGGTCACACAATTTCAGATAGCAACCCTCATCAGCTGTGTGTATTTGGAGGTAGCGACCATGAAAAATGCTATAAGTGGCTTTAAAAATTCTGGATATGGCCAGTAGACAGGTTCATTTTCACAAATACTGACCTTTATAAGCTGAAGCGACAGAACTACCTATGGGTACATCTGCCACTCTGAGCAGAGTTGCCTCACAACACCTAGCACCTCTATAATATCTAGCTCTTCCCCTTCATTGCTTAGCACTTTTACATTACCCATACTTAATACTTCAACATCTACATTATCTAACACATCAATTTTTATCTTACCAAGCACGTATATTTCTGCGTTACCACCACGTCAACTTTGGCATTACCAAGCACCTCAACTTTTGCATTACCAGGCACCTCAATGCTACCAATACCTAGCACTTTAGCTTCACCAATATCCAGCACTTTAACTTCTATATTATCCAACACGTTTATTCTACATTGCCTAGCCTTTTTACTACTTCTCTAAGGAATATCATTCCTTTTCCAAAGCAGGACTTCAAAAAAAATTTTTTGGCAAAAGGGAATGATAGCAGTGCTAACGTCTTCTCCATATAAAGACTCTTTAATTTTGGCTAAGGAGAAGGAGGCAGCACCTAAATAGAAAAATTGTACAAAAAAAGAAAATAAAGACACAAGGTGTCTGTACTGTATTTACAGATATTTGTAGAACTAGGAAAGCTGGGTTGCTAGCACAGCTTGTGGTAACTAGACATATTATTCGTGTACTGGCATAAAGGAAAGGGTAAAAGAGCCAGAATATGTTTGCAAATTGTGTGTTCAAGTGCATTTATTTGCGAATTGTGTGTTTTTGAGTGGATTTATCATCATTTTCTGTTTTACCATTACTTTATAAATATTAAATGTTGTACATTTTGAAGATTTTCTTTAGTTAAACTTTCCCTATGTATAATTCAGTTTTGCCCCAGGCATGGGGCAAAACGGGATTTTATTGTTATGTCTTTATTTTATTAATAAAAAAATATTACAACTCCCAATTCAATTCTTGATAATAAAGTATGTACCTTTTAGAGTAGGGGAGAATGGGGCACCATGACACATGGGACACCATGAAACAAAGCAATTATACAGCGATATAAAAGTTTTATCAAAAATCCTTTTGAGTTGTAATCAGTTACTACTAGATGTATTGTTTAATGTATAATTCATATCAGAACATGTCATTAATATCGGAAAAGGTTCAAATTTATGTTTTTCCGTTGCAAAGTAATTTAAAAATTTTTGGAATTGTAGCGTTTTACGGTGTTTTTTTCACTGTATTCTTCGGAAAGTGCTTCTATTTTGTGAACTATATTTCATGAGCTCTTCAGTGTGGCAAAGACATTTTATAAAATAATTTTTTGAAAAAAAAAAGTCATCTTATTTTATCAGCATGTATGGGGTACCATGAAACAGTTTTAGTGAGGCACCATGAAACTAAACAAATGTACCGTTTTGTAAATTACTTAATAGTCAAGCATACTATAATTAATTACCGGCGAGAAATATTGACTTCTATACTTAAATGTTTCACCTAACTTGGCAAAAAGTTTATGTAGTAAAAATAAGTGTTATGTTATTCAGTATTTATGCATGTAGTATGATGATGAACTTATAGAGTAATAAAATTAATTTTGTCTCATAAACATAAGTTACACAAGTTTATAAAAACATAAATTTGCTTTAATATATCAAGGTATTTATGAACACTTTTTTGTTGAAGGACTAACATTCATTTATTTTATGTTTTTATACTGATTTCTATTAATATATAATCTATTGGTGTAAATAAAGCTCAGCGTGATATTAAATCATGATATGGCCATGATTTGAATTTTCATACATTGTAAAGCCTTTTTGTTATTGAAAAACTAGTAAAGGAACCTTCTCGAGCATTTTAATGGAGGTAGCTGTTGATTTAGTTTTAACAGGAGGGTGTTCATTTAACATTTAACAAGAGGGTGTTCATCAAATGCAATAAAAATCTTAATCACAGCACCTTTTGCAGGTAATTTATGCTAATGTATTCTGCACCAATAAATATTTGTCCTACTTAGTAAATGAAACTGTATAAGTTTGTGACTAAAAGCAAATTCTAAAAGCGTGTTTTTATGTATGCAGATATTTTGAAAAGACAAAAGGAGTAAAAGGAGAAATCATTTCTATGAAACTCAATTTTTCTTCAAGAAGAGTATTTACTTAAGAGTAAGAAAATCTTTTGAAGCATGTATATTGTAACCTGCTCTCAAATGTATTGAACACATGCTGTAAATTAAAGATCTATTAGCAACATATGCTTAATAATGCACCATTTGGATCTCATGGTCTTGCAAATCCAACTGGATGGATGAATACAGAGTTATTTGTAGAAGTAATACCTCATAAATATAATTTTGAACAAAATTTAAAAATTAATATTTTTAGAACTAATAAGTTTTATGTGGTATTGTTTAAGGTAAAATAGCTTTCATAATCCATAAAAAAATCCAAGATTTTATAATTTTTGTACAATTTACGACATTTAGGACGCATAGCTTTCTTCTGCTGATGGCTACGATCTGGACAATTTGTTTTTTTGAAAGTTCGAATGTTCATTGTTTTTAATACTTATTGAATTCATTGTTTTTAATACTTAGGAAATTCGAGTTTGACTACAGTTAAAAACTTGAGCTACTTTCTTTTGGGAGCACCCTGAGTTATTATCAAAAAATGCAGCAATCTTTGGAATATTTTCTTTAGTAGCTACCTTAGCGATTTTGACCACTTCCAACTTTTCTTTTTAGAGATCCATTCTCCAATTTTACAATTATATCGTAAGCAGTTGATCTGGGTAAACTCTATTCCATAAACTGCTTAGTAACAAACGCTTTACCTTTTTCTCGATTTTTTTGGAAAAAATTTCCATCATATTTTCGAGGTCCTTTACTTCGACCAGTTTATTTTCAATATTTAAACAATATTTTTAATTTAATCAAATTAAATTTAAATAGATTATAAAATCTTCTTTAAAATAAGTATAAAGGTTTTTTGCGTGCATGAAATAAATTACATAATAAATGCAATAAAAATTTATCCAAAATTTTATTTATATTGTGTTAGTTCAACATTTTATATCAAAAGCGTCCAAGAAAAATCCATCTCTACTTTTATTTGATAATTACGAGATCCACTGATCTATAAAATCTATTAATCTCATTAAATGTAACGGTGTTACTATTCTTACTATACCACCACATAGTAGACAAAAAGTGCAAACCTTAGATGTTTCTCTATTTGCTCCGTTTAAAGTTTATTATAATGTCATAGTAACATCTTGGCTAAATCATCCTGGAGTGTCACAGTGAGTGTTCTAAA